GTACGAAGAAGTCATGACAAAACATATACGTAAACATTTATTTCCTGTGTTGTTGTCAAAATGTCATGTTGTCTCATTTTTTCAGAGAAGTTCATTAACCGAGTGACACATGGTGACGTAGTGACACCTAAAAACCATCTACCCTAAACATTATTTTTGCTGAATTCAACAACAAAATGAACGAGGTCAGGATGTATGCAAATACCTTTGAATTCATTCATAACACCCTTTGTAAGCTCATAAAATGCTTGTTTTGAGGTCGAGCCACTTTTGGCTTGACCGTATTCTTTCAACCAAAACTCAAGAATTTCCTGCATGAATTTTGTATAAAAAGCAACCGCCGGAATTCAGGCGGTTGTTATATTCTTCACAAAACATTTACGATGAAGAAATCATGACAAAACATGTACGAAGAAGTTTTGACAAAACATATACGTTTAAGTTCCATGAAATCATAACAAAACATTTACGATGAGGTCATGACAAAACATTTACGATGAGGTCATGACAAAACATATACGAAGAAGTCATGACAAAACATATACGATGAAATCATGACAAAACATATACGTTCATGTTTGACAAAACATATACGATGAAATCATGACAAAACATATACGAAGAAGTCTTGACAAAACATTTACGATGAAGAAGTCATAACAAAACATTTACGATGAAGTCATGACAAAACATTTACGTTTAAGTTCCATGAGGTCATAACAAAACATTTACGTTTAAGTTCCATGAGGTCATGTTAGAAAACATGTTAGAAAAGGTGTTAGATCTAACATTCTAACATAAACATTATTTTTGGGTCATTTACACTCATTACGATGAGGTCATAACAAAACATTTACGTTTAAGTTCCATGAGGTCATGACAAAACATTTACGATGAAATCATGACAAAACATTTACGATGAAATCATGACAAAACATTTACGATGAAATCATGACAAAACATTTACGTTTAAGTTCCATGAAATCATGACAAAACATTTATGATGAAATCATGACAAAACATTTACGATGAAATCATGACAAAACATTTACGATGAAATCATGACAAATCATTTACGATGAAGTCATGACAAAGTCTTGACAAAACATTTACGATGAAGTTTTGACAAATCATTTACGATGAAGTCATGACAAATCATATACGATGAAGTCTTGACAAAACATATACGAAGAAGTCATGACAAATCATTTATGTTTAGTTTCGATGAAATCATGACAAAACATTTACGATGAAATCATGACAAAACATTTACGATGAAATCATGATAAAACATTTACGAAGAAGTTTTGACAAATCATTTACGATGAAGTCATGACAAAACATATACGATGAAATCATGACAAAACATATACGATGAAATCATGACAAAACATATACGAAGAAGTCATGACAAAACATGTACGAAGAAGTTTTGACAAAACATTTACGATGAAGAGGTCATGACAAAACATATACGATGAAGTCATGACAAATCATTGACGATGAAGAAGTCATGACAAATCATTTACGATGAAATCATGACAAAACATATACGATGAAGTTTTGACGAAGAAGTCTTGACAAAACATATACGATGAAGTCATGACAAAACATATACGAAGAAACCTTGACAAAACATTTACGATGAAGAGGTCATGACAAATCATTTACGATGAAGAAGTCATGACAAATCATTGACGATGAAGTTTTGACGAAGAAGTCATGACAAATCATTGACGATGAAGTTTTGACGAAGAAGTCTTGACAAAGCATATACGATGAAGAAGTCATGACAAATCATTGACGATGAAATCTTGACGAAGAAGTCATGACAAATCATTTACGATGAAATCTTGACGAAGAAGTCTTGACAAAACATATACGAAGAAGTCATGACAAATCATATACGAAGAAGTCATGACAAAACATATACGATGAAACCTTGACAAAACATGTACGTTCATTACGATGAAGAAATCATGACAAAACATGTACGTTCATGAGAATAGTGATGAAATAGTTCATGCAATAAGGAGGTCATACATGAATGCAATGATGAAATAGTTCATGAGAACAGTGAGGAGGTCATACATGAATGCAATGATGAAATAGTTCATGAGAACAGTAAGGAGGTCATACATGAGAACAGTGATGAAATAGTTCATGCAATAAGGAGGTCATACATGAGAACAGTGAGGAGGTCATACATGAGAACAGTGATGAAATAGTTCACGATGTCGTTCGTGAAGAAGCCATTGCAACAAAGAATGTTATAAAGGATTTCATAGAACTTAACAAGGAGGAGTTTAAAGAAGGCTATGAAGTGAAAAGATGTGAAGAAGATTTCTTGGCGTATTTGAAGAAAAAGAGACTAAAGCCAATGGCTCAAAATAAGTTTCAATCGATGTTTGAAAAGAAACGTTTGAGCTATGGTGGTGTAAGAAGCACATATTACTTTGTTAAGAAGTGAGGACATTTATTTTTGTCGTTAGTGTTGGAGTTTGTGGTTGTTGTTAGTGTTGGAGTTTGTGGTTGTTGTTAGTGAGAGAATAAATTAAATCATGAACTTTGCCATGGTCTCTGTCCCTAGTAGTTTTCATTAAGTTCTGGAAATAATGAAAGTCATAAACTTTGCCATGGTCTCTGTCCCTAGTAGTTTTCATTATCTCACAGAATTAATGAAAGTCATACTTTCTATCAGATGAAGCATGCAGATGAACATAACGAAAGTTAGTGAGTTTGCCACGAGTTATGAATAAAATATTGGCATATTAGATGAGATAGTTGATGAAACAGATGAAGATAAATTAAATCTTGGACTTTGCCACACTCTGTCCCTAGTTCCTCAAAATCCTTGACAACGTTGCTTAGAAATTTTGGTTCAAAACCTCATCTGATTTTAATCTGTTATGCTACCTGTTAAGTTTCGCGAGATTATAAATGTCATGGAGTTATATAAAAAGGAGGGACAGCTAGGGACACTGGAAGTACTTGTAAGGCTATCTGTTAAGATTGCATGAAATACTAAAAGTCATGAAATCCATTATCGCTGTGCTAGCTTCACCTTTGATTGAAATGACGACTAAAGTCACTGAAGCAATGAAACAAAGTTTTTGGTAGAATACATTAAATCAGGAACTATTCCAGAAGGTTTTTACATTCATACTATGAAGGATGGTAGAGTTCAGTTTAGAAAGATAAAGCAACCATTAGATAGAGAAGGAATTTTGAGAAAGATTAAACTTCATGAGGACAACATTGCTGAACTTAAGAAGAAGTTAGAAGAGTTGGATAAAGTCAATGATGAAAAATGAAGAAATCAAGGAAGAGAGTTATAAAGCAATGAATTCAACAGGGTGAAAAAACAGGTGAAAAAAGAGGTGAGATCTCACCACTTCACCTAAATTTATTTTTGTGCTATGTTTTCATACGTGTGGGAGTGGTGATATCATTAATTTTTAAGTTTATTTTTAAAATTATTTTTTAAGTTTATTTGGATGTAAATGACGAAAACTATTGAGATAACAAACTACAACGGTCATGAGTTCAAGAATTTGTTCTTCGTTCCTCGTGAAAATACATTCTATCAGATACGAGGGAGAAAGGGTAAAGTTAGTTTGAGCGTTTATGAAGGAATGAAGAATGGAAAGTTTATACAAGCATACGATACAAACGGTAAACGTGTTTCATTAGCTTTGTCAAAACTTACTAACATTTATTTTGACAGTGATTTTGACTCTGACGATTGGAGCGACAGCAGCGATACTGAAGAATATGAACTATTGTGTGAAGCACAGCAATGGGAAGAGTTGCAATACTTTTGTAAGTGAGAACGTTTATTTTTACAGTAGTAAGGTGAAGTGGTTGGCGGCTTTATAAATATTTAAGGTTAAGTTGGTGTTTGTGTTTGTGTTGTAAAATTTACGTTAACGGTTTTGTAAAGTGTCAAATTCACATATAATGGGTAAGGTGGAACGCAGTGCCACAGTACACGAGATAAGTATACTAACTACATTGTTATAGACCGAAAATAGATTTTTTCGGTTTTCTCTTCAAATAATTGAAAGAATGATACTATTATAGGTTTATTATATTATATAGCATATAATCATGCTATAGCCGAAAATTATAAGTTTTGAGAAGATTGAATATAACACAAATAAATTTGAATGTAAGTTAAATTGCTTGTTGTTTTTAATAGCTATTTAATGAGAAATCCAATATTGCAAAATTCAAATTGAATGATTGAAAGAACAGAAAAAGTCATTCTTTTCAATTCATTTGTTAAATTTAAAATTAAAATCACTGAATTTGCATAAATTGTAATGAGACAAAATGTTATACTGTGATCATTCGCCACTAAATGTGATAATTTATTACGTCTAATTATCCTAATTCCAAAGAATGCATATGGGAGTAGTAATAAAACGCTGAACACGAATAGTAATACAACATATGGACTTTTACAATCTGGAAAATTCACAAATAAGCACCGAGTATTAATTTTGGAAGCTATAATGATTTCTGCAGTGATATTCATTTGAGATGAAATTTGCCAATTACATTTTCTGATCAGAACATTAACACAGCAAATTGCGTATTGTATATTATCTAATAGATTTGTTGAAAGCGATGTAATCTCATTTTTTGACATAAAAAAAAAGGTAGTGGGGCTTCCAGGGGCTGCGCCCCTTCTAGCCCCTAAGAAATTTTGCCCAAGACCCAAGAGGAGGACCGAACCCCAGCCGACCAGCCGTTGACTTTTTTGTAGAGCACTCAAAATAGTATAACTTTGTCCGGACAAGTAAGGGTCTATCATCGCTACAGGAAAAGTTACAGGCGTTCCAAGGAAGTATACTTTGAGAAGCCTTTCCCCCTTATAGAATGAGATAGGACGGTTATTTTACAAAACTGACAACACGTTGACCGAGTAGTTTTTTGTGCTGAACAAAAAGTGCCATATAAACATCTGTCAAAAACCGTTTTTTACTTCACTTAAAATGCCACGTAAGCTACGTAAGAATATACGTAAGAGGAAGGGAGCATTGAAACATCCCATAGTAAAACTGACACCACAACAACAGTTGCAACAACAAATTATGAATGACCCCACTATGTTGCAACAAATGTCAAGCAACCCTATGCTTTTAAACCGAGTTATTGGTGCACAGAGTGGAGGTTTAAGAGCGGCACTTTTAGCGAAAATGGCAGGCTATGGTGGAGCTGCAGACGGAACAGCTTATAACCCTCAAAGTCAAATGAATTTGAGTTCACTCAAAAATCAAATAACAGATGTCAAAAAGTCAAACATAGACATACAGAAACAAATAAGTGAAAACGAAAAGAAACTAGAATATGACAGACACACAAAGAAACTCAATGAGTTAAACGTAGAGAAAAAGAAGAAAGAAGAACAACTGAAAGAACTAAGTACAGAGGAATATGCGAAAAAAGTGTCAGAAAAAGCAGCAGAAGTAGCAAAAATGGAACAAGATGTTATAAATTTGAAAAACCATACTACTCAATATAAAGTACTGAAAGATGAAGAGATAAAACAAAAAGCCCTGAAGACATATATGGATAGCGATGAGTATAAAAAAGAAGTTGAAGCAAATGTAAAGGCAGAAAAACTTTTACAGTTGCAAAACCAAACCGTACAGTATGAAAACTTAGCACAAGAAAGTAAAATAACGACGCAGCCATGCAAAAGGCAATGAAAAGCGCAGAATATATAAAAGCTAATAATGACTGGTTAGATGCCCAAGCCAACGCCAAAGCAGCCCAACTTATAGGGTCAATAAGGACAAAAATACAAGCGGATGAAGACAGTTCAAATGAAGCTTTAATGAATGCTGACTTTAAGAACGCCTTCGAAGCTCTTCATAGTAAGGTGAAACTAGTGAACGACTTCTCATCTGGAAAGAAACTGAAGTCTGAAGGTTTCGACAACGAGTTAAGAGAAGTAGCACAAAATATGACGAAAATAACAGATGCAGCAACGAGACAGGCAGTTCAAAGTGCCTATGACGCCGTTAGAGCAACTGTTGTGGAAAGTCAAGAAAAAGAGTTACAACAGACCAAAACAGACCTAGTAAATGCTTTCTTAAAAACGAAAAGTCAGGTAGGACATTATGCTGCAGATGGAACATATGTGCCAGCTGGTGGAACTTATATACCACCAAACCCTCCAAGAGAAGCACCTGCACCAGGACTACCTAAAACATTTACATCGTCACATGGACACAGACACAGGCATGCACCAAAACCAACACAACAACCAACACAACAACCAACAGTTCAAAACACTGCACCACAACCAACAGTTCAAAATCCAGCACCACAACCAACAGTTCAAAACACTGCACCACAACCAACAGTTCAAAACACTGCACCACAACCAACAGTTCAAAACACTGCACACACAAACAGAGCAAGGACATAAAAGAAGTAGAGAACAAGGAAACCAAGAATTCTTAAAAATGCTTAAGGAAGACTATGGTTACCCAGATACTCTTGACTTTAGTGACAGATATAAAGAAGCTATTAGAAAGTTCAAGGAAGGAAATACTGACCCGAACCTATTTAGCTTTATGGTTCAGCACCAAATGGGATATAATTTCAAACCTGGAAAATACAAGCTCGCTAAGGGATATGATTTAATAGCATATCATCCAAATGACATGACTGAATTTACTCCGAGATATTTGGTGTCAGAGATAAATGATAATTCAACTATCTTCATGAAACGCGTAAAAAATAGAGACGGAACGAAAGAAGAAAGGGTTATGAATGCGGATGGCTTAAATAGGGAACTTGTTAAAAACGGTCTCGGAATATATGAAATGCCAGCAGATGAGGTACAAGAAACTCCACAGGAAGAAGTTCAGATACAACCAGACATGGAAGAAATAGTTCAGCAACAACAGCTAGAAGAGCCTGAAGGAAACAAACAAGTCCCTCCTTTGGAAACTAACTTCACAGAACTAGATGAAGATTTGGAACAGCCGAAAAATCTTGACCCTCAACAAGAGTATGCGGAGAATATGGAATCTTTCCAAGAGTCTAAGAAAAATTCAGCTGACATAGTAGAAGAATATCGAAAAATGTTCGCCGACATACAAAAGACTCCAACATCAGATGAAAATATTCAGCATAGAATGGAAGTACTGAAAGAAAATGTACGCAAATACAACAATCCTTTTTACTTACGACCATATAACGTTCAATCTTTGGCTGAACTCGGTGAAAATAAAAGGTTAAATTTCAACAAAACATATAGAAATGAAACATTGTTTAAAGTTCATTCAGAACCTAACCAATATGGAAACAAACCTACTTTTGTTTCTGCAGACTATGGAACTACAATGAGATGGGGTCATAAAGCTAATCCGGATAGGTGGTTCATAAACTTACAACCACAATTCCAAGAAGTTGTAGACGCAATGGAAGTGAATGGTGAACCAGATATAGCTGGTATTTTCAGCGCGGCTTTAATGCCATTGAAAGATATGAAACATGCAGATATTTTGGACCAGTATGAAATGAACATGGCTGATGGAAATATAACACCTGACGTTCTAGAACATTTATCTCAAAGAACTACACAGAACCATAGAGATGGTATATTTGGTGAAGAGTTTAGAAAGAAAGTTAGGGAGATAGAAGGAAGAGAACCTATTGTACATGACCTTGCAAACGAAAGTTTACAAAATGTCATAAAAACTTACTTTGCAGACAATGAACTGAGAAGGGATGAATATTTAAGAAAACTCAAATGGACAGTACCAAATGAAATGTTAGTATTGAAAAACATGTTCCTTGACAAAATAAAACCAACTACAGAAATAAATGACGCAAGCCTGAAACGTTGGGTAAAAGCTTTCCCATTCACAAAAGATATTATTGGTAACATGGAAAGAAAACCAGAATGGCTACAAAAACATATATTTGGAAACGAGCTTATTCCATATGGACAAGCTATATTTGAAGAGCTTGAACCGGAAACTCAGGAAAGAGTCATGCAAACAATACGCGAAGACTCAAATACAAACTATGACAAAATCTTTCTAGGATATAGGTTACCTGAGATGGGCGACCAGAGCCCAAAGGCAAAAAGGACATGGGAAATTTACAACATACTAGGTGAACATGAGGCAAAGATGCAACAACTTGAAGCAGAGGGCAAGTTACCAAAAGCGACACCAAAGAAGAAGAGAAGAGTAGAACAAAGTGAAAGTAGTGAAGAAGTAACTTCATCTAGTGAAAGTAGTGGCAATGAAGGAAAAAGAAGAGTTAAAAACTCAGTCAGGAAGAAAGTAAAGCTTGGTCCGAGTGGGTTCTATTATGACACATAAATCCAACTATTCTATATTTTTACCCATATGAAATGTACGCCGCTCAGAATATAACGCCAACAGTTTTGGATGCCATGAACGGAAATGTTTCCGAATGGTATAACGAATGCGACAATGCCATTAGAAGGTCAGAAATAGTTCCTGGAACTTACGAATATACAACTGCTGTTTCTTATGGAAACGTAGGTGAGTTTGGAGAAGGTTCTTCAACAACAGTAGATATTGCTTGCGACAGGTTTCATATTATTTCTATTGACAACTCATTCTTATACGTGGAACAAGACATTGAAATAAAACCTTCTGCCAAGTTGTCTGACAAGAAAGGTTGCAATGGAATTTTCTATGTCGGATACCAATATGCTCCAGAAGTTTTCATGGGATATAAGATATATTCTAACTCTGACTTAGTTCAAACAGTAACATGGGCAAACTATGAATGGTTCGCTTTGAGAAACTCAGTACAACCACAAGCTAGAGAACAAACAGACCAGTATGCAAATATTGAGAAAATAAGAAGACTTGACCCTAACGTTCCAGGAGTTTATGTTGACCTTTCTGGACAAACTGCAGCAGCAGTAACCAAAGTAAAACTGAAACTTAGAGTTCCTTTGTCATCTTTCCTCATCTTCAGGTTTTTAAGATACTTGCCAAACTGGGCAGGAAAAATTTCTATCGAACTTACTCCAAGCAAAAATAACTTAGTCATTGCACCAACACAAGACCCATTCACTCTTACAGAAGTAGTGGGAACAAATAAAATGTCATTCGCCGACTTTTGCAAAAACAAAGTTGACTTAGACTTTGGTTTCTCAAACTTCAACAATGAAGTAAACTATTATTTCAATGCTGCTGGAACTGCTTGGGACCCAGTTAAGTTCATGCGAAAAGTTTGAATGCAAGAGAATAGAAAGCAGACTTGCAGTCTATATGTTGGACCCAGATATTTCAAATGCTTTAGCTGCCAAATATAATTGCAGTTCCACTTATGTTCCCTATACACCAAATATCTGTCAAGACTTTGCAGGTGAAGTTGGAAACCAAAAGTGCTGACCCAGGTGCAAGAACAGATATTGCTTTAACAACTGCAATGAAACATGCAGATACTATGTTTGTACTGTTCAGACGAACTATAAATGACTATTCTTGTTTCTAACCCCGGTATTAAATATCATATAAACATAGATGGCAAAATATTATCCAAGAGAAGAATATTCTACAGTTGAGGATATGAGGTCATACAACTTGACATTAGATGCTATGAATTTAACAACAACTTCACAACAACCATTAACCCTGAAAATGCAAAGTTCTATTATGCCATATGTGAAAGTATGGACTCATACAGGAGGTCAAAAAAACTCAATATACAAATGGAGACGTTCAAACTTTTGGCTTGGCATTCCATTTGCTGACTCAGAAGACTTTATGGGTGGTATTTCAACTGTTGGTACTGTACAAATACAATATACTGGTGACAGAGACGGTCCAGATGAACTGAGAGCAAAGAAGTTTACAAAACCAATAGCACTTTTCACGGAAGATGCTCTTTTGAAGATTCGTTCGATGAAACCTGCTGGGGCTCCTCAGATTGGCATAACGACAGCTTCCAATCGAGCAGATTTTGGCAGCAGGTCAGTAAGTTGTTCTTGAACTGACTTCTCTCCGTCAAATATTGACAGTACGCCAGTTTTGACATAATATTGTAAGATAAACTTACCTTTAGAAATATCTGTAAGTTTTGAAGTTATATTTTTTGTCTGCTTCAAGAACTTTCACCATTTCAGTTATAACCAACTTTCTTTGCTTTATGGAAATATTTTGGTTCAGCAAAGACTGCTATTCTATAACATTTACCATTGTTTGTATAAAGAACTATTCTGTCAATGTATTTGTATTGTTTGTGAGTATAAACTTTGTTCTGCTTCAATTCGAAGAGATATCCGAATACGTCCATCTTTTTATTCTAAGTAAAATGTCATTTCCGAAAAAATAGAAGCGTAAGTGTTTCAAAAGGTTTAATGGCGGTGGCAGATGTGAAGTTAAATTCACCAACTCAAACAAACAGTCAAAGTGTTATTGTCAATGTCAAAGACAGAGATGTTGAAGTGGGGAAACCATACGAAGACGAAGATGGTATAACAATTGTTCTGTAAAAGACAACCAACATATCCTGAAGTTAGCAGAGACTTAAGTTCTGTTGCAGATATTCGAAACGACTACCAACAACTGAAAGACAAACTTCAAACTCAGGAGAAGATTTGTCAAGCTTTAGTATAATGTTAAACTTGGTCGAACACAACCTGTAAAAGTGAACTCATATGTCATTGCACCTCATGAAGTCTTTGAAAGAACTATTGAAACTTTTGACAGAGGCAGACGATATAAACATCAAAGAAATAGAACCCGACATTAGTTGCTGTGGTGTTTCATATAATGTCATTGACAAGATATACGTTATGAAAGGAGGTGAAACGTTGAACTTAAAGTATAGTTTCCCAGACGTCATAAAAATATTTGACGACCACAACATTTTCATTAAAATTTATTTGCTAAGTAAAAATGTCAAAACTTCTTGAAAGATGTTTGAAGAAAAATAATATAGACTTTATTTCATGTAAAGGACTTTACACACTTTTGAACGATATGAAAGACCCTGTTTTGTTTGTTCGTGTAGACAAAGGAAAGTTCTATGTCTTTACAAAATATTTGAACTTCTTAGACAGAGAACTTCAAGAAACGCCATGTGAAAGTTTAGATGAAGTTCTTCTCCACTTTCAGAAAAACTTTTAATATATATAAATGGCAGAAGATATAATGGTTTATACTATTACGACTAAAAACCCTGAGTCATATAATTCTATAACAACAAACTTACAAAGTCCTCAAGGACGGTATTGTAAACTAACCTTAAACACAATGACGACTAAAGCCTGTTTTGCTCTTTTGACACCAGAAGACTTTATTGTTGTGAATGGTAAAAAATACTCCTTTGAAGATACTTACTCAGATATACCACCAACAGGTTTTGTTGACTTATTTAATACTTTAAGTACGGGTGTAACATGTGCTGCAACTAGAGCAGGTTTCATTATGTTTGGATGTCCGACTGAGTTTACTATAAACGATATGAGCTATAATACAAAACTTATTTCTGGTTTTTACTACCAACAGTTTCCTATAACAGGAAAAGGTGTCATACAAGGAATGTCTATTCCATTGACATTAAGCACACCAATCTTATATATTGTTTCAAACTTAGGTTCAAAGTGTTATTCGAATGTCGACAGAAACTATTATGACCAAAAGATACTTATGCGTATAAACAATACTTTCTCTGCTGGTTTGCCTATTGTTCATTCGAATGCAGAATTTTCAACCTTAGTGAACTCAAACACTTTGGCAAGTATAACGTTGACATTAGTTGACGCAAACTTTGTTCCTGTAAAACTTTTATGTCCTATGTATTTGTCAATGACGGCAGAAAGTTTCGAATTGGAAGATGCAACTGGTGAAAGTATTGTATTACAAGAACAACTTCAACAACAAATAGCTCAAGAACAACAAATGCAACAACAAAGTCAAGAATAAAAAAAATATTTTTTTTTATTTTTATAAAAATGTACAGAATAGATGTTTCAGATTTTTATGACTTCCAAGCATTCAGAAATATGTGTCCATTTCGAGACTATAACAAAGCAGTCGAGAATTTGAAACGTTTAGTCATTTATGTCGACTCTGCCCCAGAATGTTATGTTATGAAAGAATGGGATGTAGTCTTTAACAAACCAAAGCAACAATAGTTTCAGAACAAGAATGTAGACAGAAACTTAAGAAAATAAAAGTCGTACAAGTTGGCATGAAGATGTTAGATGCTTGGGATATCTTATTGTCAAAGTTAGAAGATTTTTCAGTTCGAGGTATAAAGTTCTATACACCTTCTCCAAACTTCTATTCTATCTTCACTGGATATAAATACGAACAAGTAGAATGGAAAGAAAATATTATAGAAGCTTGGTTAGACCATGTCAAAGAAATTATATGCAATGGAAACGAAAAGGTTTATGAGTATATCTTATGTTGGTTTGCAAAACATCTTACAACATCCAAGTGCTAAAAATGAAACTGCTCTCATTATAATTGGAAAACAAGGAACTGGTAAGAACACATTCTTTACAGATATTTTGTGCAAACTGTTAGAGGCTATTCGAATCCCGAATATGACAAACTTAGAAAACATCTGTGGCAAGTTTAACTCTCAATAGAGAATATGAAACTTATAGTTTGCAATGAACTTCAAAAGTATAGATACAACAAAAGTTTTAAACTCAGATGCTTTGAAGAGTCTTATAACAGACAAAGTTGGAGTTGTTGAAAGAAAATATAAAGACCAAAGAGTTTGTGAAAATTTGCAAACTTCATTATGGTTTCAAACATTGCTGTTCCGATGAAGTTAGAAAGTTCTGACAGAAGATATGTAGTTGTCAGAACGTCAGATTCTCATATGCAAGATACAGAATATTTTGACGACTTAGCAGAAACTTTGACATCTGACTTTTACAACCACTTGTTCTCATATTTTATGACATTAGATATTTCAAAGTTCAATCCAAGACAAATTCCACATACCGAAGAGAGACAAACATTGTTAGAAGCAAACAAGAGTGTATATGAACTGTTCATAGATGAAACTGACTTTGTGTCATTAGATGAAAGGTCATTGTACGATTCGTATAAACAATATTGTCAAGAATATGGTTATATGACAGCGTCGAAACGAACATTCTTGGCAAATGTCAAAAGTCTTTTAGACGTACAGAATGGTGTATATACAAAGAAAAATTTTTATGAGTAAATTTTAAAAAAAATATTTTTTTATCCGATAGAAAAGATGGCAAAATTCATCTCAGTAAACAAGTACATGTCAGGACTTAAAGAAGAACTAGACCCATTCACATATTTGAATGTTTACTTCTACCATTTTGAAAAGTCTTCATTCAGCAAAGTTTGGAACATCGAACCAGTTAAGTTTGCTATTGTGACTAAAAATGGTGCGAAATTTGAAGACTTAGACATAGAAGGTTTGTTAGCAGTCAAAGAAAGTTTTGACAGAAGGTTTTCAAACCTTAAAGAAGGCAAAGCATACAAACTTGTTATACCTTATGAACCAAAGAAAGCAGACGACTATGAATATTATGAGTCTAAAGTTGTAGAAGTTCAAGGTAAATTGGGTAAAAAGATTTTAGAGTCTAAGCCAGTGTTTGCTCCTAAAGAGGAAGAGAACATTGACATTGACCCAGAAATGTTCTAAAAATAAAATTTTATTTTTACATGTCAAATTTCTTTTTCTCTGGAACTGGTTCAGGTTCTTTCTTCTCTTCTTCTACTTTCTTTTTCTTTCTTTCTTTCTTCTTCTTTTCTGGTGGAGTTATGTCAAATTTGGCGCAACTATATTTATGTAAAAGTTCTTTGTCCTTTAATAGCTCTCTATTCTGTTTTCTATTTCATCTTCAAGAACAGCGCATGTGTTTCTTTTGCATTCTAAGAAGTTTTGTTGGACTTCATCTCTCCAAGAGGCGTCATCTCTGTCAACAAGTCTGTCATTGACAAATTTTAAGACTGCTCTGCTTAATGTTTTATGGTTCTTGTCATATTCCCAGAAACAGAACTTTAGAACAAATTCCCTTTCTTGTTTACACTATGTAAGATTTTATGGTCGACAGATGTTTTGCTGTCGAAAAGCTTGTCTCGAATATAGATAGCGAAATCGCTAGACATTTTCTAAAAGATAAAAATTTTAATTTTTCTAAAAATATGTTAGAAAAAAAGTTTGCTGACATTGACAAAAAATTTGAGAATGTTTTAAACAAGAACAAGAGGAAGTTAGAAAATGCTCAGATAAAACCTATACATGACAAGTTCTTATTTGCTCAGAATGGTTATAACAGGTCTAATTGCACCACCTGGGTCGGGTAAGACTTTCACTTATCTTAAAATGGCTGCACAACAACAAGAACTAGATGAGAAGAAACCCATTCTATGAGTTAGTTGTTATTTGTAGTACTTCTGGTTAATTTGACCAAAACCGTCAATTCGTTCAAGATATTATAAAGAAGTCTAAGTTAGTATGTATAAAGGATACTGAGTTGTTAGATTGGATAAAGAAGTACCAAAGAAGAGTTTTGAAGTATAATGCTATAAATGAGTATATAAATTCTAAGTTCAAAGACCCAAATGAGGAAATGCAGAGAATATTAGAGAAGAACACTTCAGAAACAAACAGAAAGAGATAGAATACATTTCGAAGAAATTGCAATCTTACGATTGGAAGAATACCCTCATAGGTGTCTTCTTATCTTAGATGACTTTGCTTCTCATCCTTTGCTTAAGAATAGAGAACAAGATATGTGTCGAATTCTTAAGAAGCTCAGACACTTTAACATCTCAGTCGTAATATGTGTACAGACAGCAAAGAGTTTAAGTAAGGATGTAAAGAGAATACTTACTGACATTGTACTTTTCCCCGGATTGTCCGAAGACGATTTCATGGAACTTATGAAAGAGTCCATGGCAGGTAAGTTTGACAGACATGAACTATGGGAGAAGTACAAAGTCATACAAGACCCTCATACTTCTTTCAGAATTCATATCTATGCGAACAAAGTTCAAATTGTAAAAAGTCAAGCTTGAAAAATCTAAGTGTTTAGTCTTAGTAAGTAAGTCTGTTGTGGTGCTGGGGCTGTCGGTTCTTCTGGCTTTGGAAGGCATTCAGGAAGAGGAACGTCAGTCATCCGTTTGTGTCCTGTCGGAAGGAAAAATTTTTCCTGTCGGATGGAAGAGTTCTTCCTGTCGGAAGGAAAATTTTTTCCTGTCGGATGGAAAATTTTTTTCTGAAGTTCGACCAAAAAGTTCTCAATTTTCGAAAATTTGAATGGTTTACGGACGAACAACTGGAAAAATTTTTCCTGTCGGAAGGAAAATTTTTTCCTGTCGGATGGAAGAGTTCTTCCTGTCGGAAGGAAAATTTTTTCCTGTCGGATGGAAGAGTTCTTCCTGTCGGAATGAAAATTTTTTCCTGTCGGAAGGAAAAATTTTTCCTGTCGGATGGAAGGACTCGGAATGCCAGAAGGATTTGACGAGGCAATTTACCTAATTGAGCTACTTGAGCCATCTGAAGTCAAGCGTAAAAATAAAGAGTGCAATTTACTCTACTTGTTTGAAGTTGTCAAAATACTCTGTTATTTTTTCCTTTAACAATGGCAAATCTTCTTTGAAGGTAAGTATTGTACAACCTTTCATATCATAGTGTGTTTGAGGTAACGTATCTTGAACTATTTGTTTCACATCTTCATTTGGGGTCATTGAAATCGGTAAGTTTTCGCGATAGAACCAATTTCTGTCAGATTTGTAAATCTTAGCAAGGTCGTAAAAGCTTTTGTTGTTTCTTCTGACTAAATGCAACATAACCATATCTCTGTCTTCTTCATTTTCCAACTCTTCAGTATAAATCATATACTTATAGTTCTTTTCCTTTCCTTTTGGTACCGAACGTGGTATTCTTTTCTGAATGCTTTTGTCTTTTGCTTCAAGCTTGTTTTCCATCTCTTCACGTTCTTGTCTATGAATTTCGTCAAGAAGTCTGTAAATATTCCAAGCATAACGAGGCGAAGCCCACATTGCAACAGCATTTACAAGAAGTCTATGTACATACCAACCTCTCAAACCATTTGGCAAATTTTTACGATTTTCATGAGTTTTAGGCGACCCAGATAAAAGTCGGTCTCGCTGTGCTTCGCTCAAAAGTTCTTGTGTGCTTTGGTTTTTGAACCAATCGTCTGTATGTTTGGTATCTGGAGCAAAACATGCTGTCAAAATACTTTGCATTTGGTACATATCGTCTTTGACCGAACGAATGAGACGGAGTTGTTTGTTAAACTGTATGTACTCATATTCTTCATTTATGGCTTCATGAACGATAGCAGTTGTTGTGTTCTCTGTTGTTGACATATCTGTCTTTACATACAAAATAAAAAAATAAATAAAAATAAAACTAACTTTATTTTTTCTGTCTTAAGGAAACTCATGATTTTCATAGAGTTTTGGCGACTAAGGTTTCTTACCTACTCGCTGTTCTTCACTGTTTTCATAGAGTTTTGGCGACTAAGGTTTCTTACCTACTCGCTGTGCTTCACTGTTTTCATAGAGTTTTGGCGACTAAGGTTTTTTACCTACTCGCTGTTCTTCACTGTTTTCGTACGGAATCTCTTCTCTCGGTTTTCCGAGGGAAGCAAGCATATGCCATTTTACTCAGAATTTTGTTGCTGAATTCAGCAAAAATAATGTTTAGGGTAGAAGGTTAGATCTCACCTGTTTTCTCACCTCTTTTCTCACCTCATGAATTTTCATGATTTCATCGTACATGTTTTGTCAAGACTTCTTCGTACATGTTTTGTCAAGACTTCTTCGTAAATGTTTTGTCAAGACTTCTTCATCGTAATGAACGTATATGTTTTGTCAAGACTTCTTCGTAAATGTTTTGTCAAACATGAACGTATATGTTTTGTCAAGACTTCTTCATCGTAATGAGCGTAAATCAGACAAAAATAATGTTTAGGGTAGAAGGTTAGATCTAACCTCATTTCTACCCTCATTTCTACCCCAGTTATTTTATAAGCGTTTTACATGGTAAACGTTATTTTTTAAATTTTGTGAAAACTCAACGGTTTGACACATGCCCTAAAAATTATTTTACTCAGAATTTTGTTGCTGAATTCAGCAAAAATAATGTTTAGGGTAGAAGGTTAGATCTAAACCTGTTTTCTACCCTCTTTTCTACCCCAGTTATTTTATAAGCGTTTTACATGGTAAACGTTATGAATTCGTGAGACTTTAAACAGTTTTGTAGCTTCTATTTCTTCTTTTAGTACATCGAATGTTTTAACTATGCCGAAAGTCTCTTTATATTTCTTCTTGACATCAGATAGAAGGAAATCGTCAGCAGTTGGATAGTTTTTGTTCAGAAATTCTAACATGTCCATTTTATCTTCTGCTGGTTTTTCTGCTTCTTTCTTTAAGTCTGCATAGTCGTTTCTCATACGTTCTATCTCTTTGACGGAGTAGTTATATTTCCTCATTGCTGCTTTACATTTAGAACATTGCGGGTTCATTTTTGCGTTATACATTGAAATAAAACCAGCTAAAACAACTAAAGCGTCAATTGCTCTCTTCATCTCAAACATAGCGGGTCTTATTTGTTTGTTCCATACTTTGCCTCTTCTATCTTTATCTCTTATTTCCCAAACACATTCAGCAACTAACGAAACAAAGTTGTCGTAGGTCTTAAATTCTTCAGATTTATATATGTCAGAGATGTTCTTATATACCATGTCGCAATCTTTGTCCATAACCTTATGGTTGCAATGAAATCCTAGAAACTCATAGTTTACCTTTCGTATGAACTTCTTTATTTCTACTGAGTCAGTTGCTTTGACTTCAATTTCGTCGAATTCAGGAATAGTGAGTTTTTGTTGTTGGATTTCAGGCAATTTGGGTAAATGGTCGATGAGGTCCTGCATTTCATAAAGATACTGTTCATTTGTTTCATCTTTCGCACTACAGTCTAAATTACATGTTAAAAGTTCTTGCTTTATCTTCTGGATTTCTGTTTCAAAAGTATATGAAGAAGGAATGAAGCTTTTCATTTCTACTAACATAGATGTTGGATTCATGACTAAAGAGTTTGGTGCTGTTGTTTGAATTGTTGTTGTGCCGATTGTTGACATTTCTGTTCTTTTATACAAAATAAAAAAATAAAAAAAAATAAAACTAACTTTATTTTTTATTTCGGGAAAATTCATGAAAATTCATGAGGGTAGAAATGAGGTTAGATCTAACCATCTACCCTAAACATTATTTTTGGGTCCTTTACACTCATTACGAAGAAGTCTTGACAAAACATTTACGAAGAAGTCATGAAAATTCAAGAGGGTAGAAAACAGGTGAAAAAACAGGTGAGATCTCACTTCTTCACCTAAATTATATTTTTGGGTCCTTTACACTCATTACGATGAAGTCTTGACAAAACATTTACGAAGAAGTCATGAAAATTCAAGAGGGTAGAAAAGAGGTGAGAAAACAGGTTAGATCTAACCATCTACCCTAAATTATATTTTTGGTGTAAATTTCATGATTTTCGAGAGTTTTAGACCATGTTAGAAAACAGGTGAGAAAACAGGTTAGATCTAACCATCTACCCGACATTCTCGTCAAATACAAAAAAATACAAAAAAATGACACTTTTTCATTAGATAACTGTTATTTTTTGACGAAGTGAAGGTTGACACTTCGTCAAAAAAATCCCTGAAATCATATCTTACATACAAAAAAATACAAAAAAATGACACTAACTTTATTTTCTGACTTTCACAAAAGACCAAAAATAAACGCTTTACATGTATTTTTCAGCAACTTCGTCAAATAATTTTATAGCTTTATCTATCTCATCTACTTCAAACGTTTCTTTACCTTTCGTGGGAGCACCATACATTTTCTCAAAAACTTCAAGCAGTTCTGTTTCAGCAGCTCTCATATCATTAACGAACACAACCTTGACTCTATTGACTGTACTGTCATATCTTTGAGTTATATTATATGTTCTTCCTATCTTATATCTCTTTGTATTGAAGTCCTTCGGTTTCTGAACGATGTAAAGTAAGCCTTCACTGCAACGTTCCGTATCGAATGAACCATATGTTATGAAGTTATATCCAACAACTAGGTCTAACCATAACAGAACTATTGGTATAAGACTTTTGTCTATAAGATATGCTCTTGTTCCATGAAATGCTACTGATATCATAAGCTCAGGATTTCTTGTCAAAAATTTCTGAGTTGAAGCATTTCTAACCCAGTCCTTCGGTTTCTTTCCAAATGGAGATATAATGTCTGACAAAGAATATTTGTTGTATTTCTTTGAGTATCTTACGTTTAAATCACCTATTCTAACCAATTTGGTGTCATTGTCTATCTTTTTAACTGTTTCAAACTCAATGTTTGTCATATATGTTCTTACATACAAAATAAAAAAATAAATAAAAATAAAACTAACTTTATTTTTTCTATCTTAAGGAAACTCATGACAAATTCAAGAGGGTAGAAATGAGGGTAGAAAACAGGTTAGATCTAACCTTCTACCCTAAACATTATTTTTGGGTCCTTTACACTCATTACGAAGAAGTCATGACAAAACATTTACGAAGAAGTCATGAAAATTCACGAGGTGAAAAAAGAGGTGAAAAAACAGGTGAGATCTAACATGTTAACATAAATTATATTTTTGGTCCGGGAACAACTTTCTCTCAATTGGAGCTGTGGCATACTCTTTGCGTAAACGGTTCAGACCTTCTTCGAACTCTTGGTCTCTCTTCGATTTGGACTGAGATTGGAATTGCTGGGGTGGAGCTTGCTGGAACATCCAAGGGTTGGGGAAGTAAGGCATAGGCAGAGGATGGTAGTTCGGGAAGCCTTGTGGTGGGTAGTAACCTTGAGGTGGAAATTGGTAGAAATTCGGAGGTACTTGCTGGAACTGAGGTTGCTGAGGAGACTGTTGTGGTTCTTTAGGTTCCTCTGGTTTGGGAATGGACTGGGTTGGTGGGACGTGGGACATTCGTTTGTGTCCTGTCGGAAGGAAGAACTTTTCCTGTCGGAAGGAAGAACTTTTCCTGTCGGAAGGAAAATTTTTTCCTGTCGGATGGAAAAACTTTTTCTGTTGGAAGGAAAAACTTTTTCTGAAGTTCGACCAAAAAGTTCTCAATTTTCGAAAATTTGAATGGTTTACGGACGGACAACTGGAAGAGTTCTTCCTGTCGGAAGGAAAAATTTTTTCTGTCGGAAGGAAAATTTTTTCCAGTTGTCGGGAAAATATTTTCCTGTCGGATGGAAGGACTCGGAATGCAAGAAAGACTTGACGAGGCAATTTACCTAATTGAACTTAACGACTGCGTAAAAGACTACTTGCGCAAGGTCATGAAGCCCAAGGTCAAGTTCACCACTATTTCTGGAAGGGCTGCCTTGAATCTCGAGACTTCGACTGGAATTCCAATTCAAATACCAGAAAACACTCCTTTCGACGACATAAAGCAAGCAAAGAAAGAAGCTCTTGTTAAGTTCCTAAACAAACGTCCTTGGATACTACTTCCAAACAAGGAGAACCCCCTACCCATATGAAATTGGCAATTCAGTCTCTCCTTCGCTTCTCGGGTCAACCATTCTACATAACCTGTGAAGGCGACATCCAACCAGTTCAGTAAACCTTAACGTTTAACTGCACTTTTTTATGTTTTTGTGAAAGTGTCAAAAATAAATTGTTTTCATGAGTTTTCTACGATGTTAGAAAAAATGTTATTTTCTAATATCTTCACATTCAATACTTTTTCAGCACTTTTCCGTAGTTATATATGAAAGACAATTCGAGATAAAAGTCATAGTACAATGGAATAATATGTTGCACACCATTTGTTGTGAACCAAACTTGAAAGTCAGAGAAACTGTTACTAGGTGGTTCATAGAATTTAGAAGCAAAGTCATAAAAGTCCTTACCAATACATAGAAAACTATTGTTGCTTGAACTGAAACTTGCATGACACATAACATTTTGAGGGTCAAACACGTTTCTATAAACTGTCAAATCTGCTGGTGGAAGTATAAATTTAAATGGACCATCTGGTGGTAATGGTTCGTTCTGGTTTAGTAACCGAAGAAATTGTGCCCAAGAACGTTTGTCTACTTTCCAAAATAAAAACTCTGTATCTCTTGGAGGGTTAATTTCAATCTTTTGAAATGAAACGGTGGAGTTCATCTTGTCATATTCTAGTTTCAGATAGTATGTTCCATTTAGTAAAGAGTCGTATTTTTCTTGAAATTCCCAATAATATTTGTTCATTTGAGTTTGAAAGTCATTTAGAGTTTTCTCAAGACTTTCGTCTGAACGAACTGTAAAGATTCTCATTTCGTCAAATTTGTCTATTAGACCATCAGAACCTTTATACTGCCCATGAAAATATACTGCGGAACATAAATGCGTTAGTTCTATTTGAAAAACAAAACTCTTCTAAATCCTATTGCCTTTGCATCTGAAGGACTTTGAAGCCAACGAATTGGATAGTCAAACCTGTATACTCGGGATGAAATTTCTTCATCTGAAATAGTCCTACCAGCATTTGTAAAGATATAGTCTAACGGTTTTGTATCTGCTACTTTTGTTCTTTGTTTTTCAACCTGAAGCATTTAATATATGTAAAATATATTGTTTTAAAATGGTATGCCATTTCATATTCTCATCTAACAAACAAGTTTCCCAACGGTCTTCTCCAACAAACTCAGCGTACATTTCAAATAAAATAAAAAACGTCACTTTTTAAAAAATAAATTTTTACTTCATGCAATGTTTAACACATCGAAAGGCATGTCCATAAGACGTTCTTCTCTAACCTCTCTAGTCTGTTTGGATAATTGGCACGTGCTGTTTCCAAATCCATTTCGTAGCGAAGACCAGACAATTTGTCATAGACTTTTATGGGTCTTCCCTTCCTATATTTAAAATTCTTCGAAACTCTCCAACCATATCTTTGCAACTCTGCTTTTATTCTAGCAGATTTTCTATCCATTCTATATGGGGGCATTTTTATAAAAATAAAAAAATATTTTTTTTCTTTACTTTACATAACCGCCTGCTGCCATAAGTCTTTGACGCCAACCCATACCAGCTAATGAAGGTTGACTTGGTTTAGTTTCCAAACTAAACTTTGGTTTTGGTTTATCTTCAGTTTTTGGTTTTTCTTCTTCTATCGGTTTTTCGTCACTTTCGGTTTCTCTGACTTTACTTCACTTGCAGGAACAGTTGTGTCGTCAACATCTTCATAAATATCATATGCCATTTGTTTTTGTTTTCCTTTCAACTTTTTGTGTTTGTTGTAAAGTTTAGAATATTTCGACTCTAAGTCAATGAGATGTTCTATAATGAACTGTTGGTCAGTGAAGTAAACTTTTCCATCTGTTGTCTCGAAAGCTCCTTCAGACTTCAATATTTATTTGTGAGAGTCTGTTTCTTTTTTGAGATACTTGCCGTTCCATTTTTATGAAAAGTGACTTTGTAGTTAGGGTTTGTATTTCCAGACCTGGCACTTTCTATTATTGAATTTTTCTCTTCATCTGTAAGTTCTTTGACAGGTTTTGACAATGGTTCTGAACTTTTTGTTTGTGGTGTCAAATCTACCGTTTCAAACTTCTTCGGTCATTCATCTCAGTAAAAAATTTTAGTTTGGTTTGTTTTCAACTGGTTGTTGTTGTTTTTTAAGTCGGTCTAAAACTTCCTGAGGTATAGGAAGAACTTGACAAACACGTTGTGTAACTGCTGGAAGCCGACAAATCCATCTTGAACCCATTTGTCTCAATGCTGTATTGTTCATTTCATCTCAGTAAAAAACTTTACATTCCCCACGTTTGAGGCGGTTGAGGTTGGTTATTGTTTACCCATTGTTGTGCATGGTTATATCCTCTGTTAAAGAATCTTTCACCTTGGTCCATATAGTGTCCTGCTTGGTTATAGTAGTCATTTGCTTTGTTATAATAGTTTCCTGCTTGTCTTCCTACATTGTCCATCCATCCTTGAACTTTTCCTCTTGTTTCAGGATTTGGAATAAGATTTGTTGCATCTCGTGCTACATCCCAACCTTTCTGTACAGTTTGTATAATAGGTTGTGCTTTCTCTTTAAGTATACCTAATGTACTCAAAATCTTCCTTCCAACTCCAAATACACCTCTGGCTATTGTTCCCACTGCGGGCAAAAATCTGGATGCAACTCCTGCTAATGCGCCAAATAAACCCATTTCTTATAGGATAAAAAATGACGAATCCAAACAAGGACCCCTATGTTTCTAAAGCGACAAAAAAAGCACTCATGATAAAAATCTTTAGTTCAACACCAAATGCTTGGTTTATGGATATCTTGGAAAACATTCCGAGAGTTAGAACAGATGGACCACCATACTGGCTAATATTTGTCGGTCAAAACACAAGATACTGTGAAGCCATACCATTATGGTCCAAAAATATTTTAGATGTGAAAACTGCTTTGACAATATTCGTTGACAAATACCATCCAACAAAACTGACATCTGACTGTGAAAGTTCTTTCAAATCAGATGATGTAAAAAACTATCTGCGTTCAAAAAATGTAAACCAATATTTCATTGTCGACCAAAACCATTCTGCTCTTGGTGTCATTGACGGTTGTATAAAAATGTTAAGAGACTTAAACCAACCACAAGGTGGTGAAGCAAATGAAATGTCATATGACGACAAATATAGACACTTCTCCATGGCAAAGATGAGACAAGTTTTAAATATTTACAATAGCCGTAAACAAAAAGGTTTGGGAAACCACTCCCCCGAAGAAATGAAAAACAACCCTGACTTAGAGAAAGACTATATATTTAATAATTTAGTCAAAAGAGACAAACAAGAAAGAATGCCGGGCTTCAAACTTCAGAAAGGTGACAAAGTAAAAATAGAAATACCTAAACGCGACCCATATGAAAATACTATTGACTATGACAACAATGGGAACCCGACAGGTACTCACGTTCGTGTTCGTAAAAATAGAAGAAAGTATACAAGAGAATATTATGAAGTTTTAGGCAAACATGGCAAAATGTACAGACTGCAAGCAGAAGATAAAACTACTATTGTCAGACCTCGTTTCAAACTTGTCAAAGTTCAAGGTGGTATACTTTCAAAGACAGTTCCTAACAAATATAAGACAACTCCTGACGAATATGCTAAAGAAGTTGAAAATGACGACTAAGCATTTCTATACCATGCGTAAACTGTCATGTAAGGTGGCATGTATTCTTTACTTTGTCCCGTTGTTTGCGTATATCCTGAAACGCGATGTGTATGGTTTCCATCTCCCTGAGTGTTACCCCAGAAACAATTTATAGCAAACTGAACGTTGTCTTTAACATCATATCCTTTACCTTTTGTCATTGCTGACCAATCCCAAAATTTATGCTTATGCCAACCTGCTTGAGATGTACTTAAATCTATGTAGTGACTATGTGCAGGTAAATTTTCACCTGAAATCGTTTTACTTCCACCTGTTTCCTTTGAAGAGTTTGCACAATACAAAAACCTGTCGACTATTTGAGTCCAAGTTCCAAAACCAAGTACTACTTCTGGTCTGGTAGAGTTCATTGACGTATAAATAGAGCCTATAGGATATAATGTTTGAAGTATTTCTGTCTTTAATGTTTGAAGCTCTGTTTTGTCTGCTTTCTTGTCATATAAATCTTGAGCAGTGAATTTAATATTATGTTCATCCTTCATGACATAAACATCTTTACATCTAATGTTTCTCATCGTCGTTATGTTGTCATCCGATGTTAAACCTTGTGGAAAGTTAGGAGGTTTACAATATAATGCATCCCCACCAGTTTCTTCAACCGTTCCTTCAATACTTTCTATAGCAACAGTTGTAAAACTTGTATGTGTATGAGTCTTATTTGCTTTCTTCTCTAACTCATCGTTAACATAAGTTTTATCTGCTTTAAGGTCTAAACATCCTGAAACCCATCCTGTATCAGCTTTAGTTTTTAAAATCTTCGATG